AGTGTGTCTTTGTAAAATATTAACATGATTATATATTATATGCGTGTTTCTCAGATGGCTGATGTAGGCCCGGCGGTGATTAAGAAGTACCTGGGCCGACAGAAACACGATGTACAACCACACGTGTACGCTGTAGCAGATGAGATGTACCGCAAACTGATGGAAGACAACTACTCGCAGTGTGTTATTATCAGGTAAGCAAACTGTTTAATATATCACTCCACACTATGTGTCTATACCTACCTGACGCACGGTTACATATTCGTTTATTGACCATGTTTACCTTATCACCCCATACCGAATACTCATACCCTGATGGCTACCACCTTCGTTTATTGACCACTTTTGCCCTATCGCTCCTCACCGTGCAGTGGTGAGTCAGGTGCAGGTAAGACCGAGGCGTCGAAGCTAATCATGAACCACATCGCACAGTGCTCCGGAAATGGCGGGGAAGTCGACCAGGTCAAGGTATGTCTAGAGTGTAGGCTTTTTAAGTTTAGGGTTTTGAGTTTTGCAATTTTGCTTTTTTTCTTTCTTTCAGGTGGTTATGGTTTTTGGTTTATGGGTTGGAGTTTAGGTTAGACCAGTGCACCACTTGCTAGGCTTGTGCGGTTGTAGATGTGCATATTCATAGGTAGGGGTGAAACACAGTTAGCGTTGCGCTTGGTCAATGTAGTACTATAGCCTCAGCTGTTGGTATACGCTAGCGAATTCCGTCGCATAATTCATCGCGAATCCTTTTGCCTTGCCCATGCTACATGCACTTCAACAGGACTCTGGCTGTAATTCATTTTACTTTCTTTTAACTTGGATTGCATCGGCATTCTAAAAATAGAAACTATATCTACCTACTCCAAATGCGCAACAGAATGTCATCCTGCAGTCCAATCCGTTGCTCGAGTCCTTCGGTAACGCCAAGACATTACGCAACAACAACTCGTCGCGTTTCGGAAAGTACATGGAGATCAATTTTGACCGCAGTGGGCGACCCAGTGGAGGACTAATCACTAACTTCCTACTGGAGAAGTCACGTGTTGTGGGCCAGCTGGAAGGCGAGCGGTAAGTATATGCGTACATTATATTTGCTTCCATGTATATATATATATACAATTATATATATTGCAGTTTAACGTGATCGGACATAAGTGGAACGGTATATTTATTCATGCCCTATACTGACGCTATCACGCACTCTAATTATTCTGCTGGAGTGTTTGTTTATTACCAACAACGGTCACTATCAAATCTGGAATATAAACCCAAAATAACCCTGAATCGTATATACATACCCCATTCCAGATCCTTCCACATCTTCTACCAGCTGCTCAAAGGCGCCACGGCCGAGGAGAAGGACTACTACGGCTTGTATGAGCCCGAGAACTTCCTATACCTCGCCCGGTCCAATTGCTACACTGTAGATGGCATGGACGATAAGAAGGAGTACGCGGACGTGCTCAAGGCCATGTCTGTGATGGGCATTGATGCAGACACACAGCAGGCTATCACGCGGTTGTTGGCAGCGATCCTGCACACGGGTGAGTTGGCTCTATGGTGGTGGGGCACGGGGAGGTAGACGTAGTGTTGGTGGTGGATGGGTTGTTGTACATACGGATAGTTTGTCTTGTTCCTGGGTCTGTTCGTATGTCCTATTTTTTTTGGTTCAGTTCGGTATCTCGAATTGCCTATACAAGTGGGGTTGTATAAAAGTATGTTTATAGTTTCATGGGGGATGTGTGTGAGAGAGATTACACATTTACCTTGTGCTGAAGCATCCCTACATCCCTACTAGATTCCTGTATGCCTTTGCTTATTGTGTATCTCCGTATCTTCAATTTCATACTACACACCTTCCAACACACACACAACAAACAA